ATATATTTGGACAACTAAATAATGGATACAAATGTATTAATACACTACTGTTCAAAAGTTTGGGGTCAGTAAGATTTTCAAATATTTTTAACAGTAATATTGTGAAATATTGTTACAATTTAATATTATTACAATTTAAAATAACTGTATTCTTTATAGTTTAAAAATGTAATTTATTCCTGTGATGGCAAAGGCCACATGATCCTTCAGAAATCATTCCAATATGCTGAATTGTTGCTCAAGAAACATTTCTTGTTATTATCAATGGGAGATTGTAAATGTCTTTACTGTCACTTTTGATTGTTCTAATGTACCCTTGCTTAATAGAAAAAAAAATTACTGACCCTAAAATTTTAAACAGTAATGTACATTATATATGCAATGAAATCATTATTAAACCAAATGACATCTGCAAACAAATGATGCTAGACATTTTCTCAGAACGTTGAAATTTTGCAATTTCCGTTAATATACTTATTAAAAGATGTTAACATTTAACATGGATGTATGAAGTCAGTTACAGTTGTAGATGACACACGTTCACATTAACATTGGGTCTTTATCCTAATTTTAAGCAGTTTTGTTCTAATTTCAAACATCTATCCATCTATCATTTTATACTTGAATAATTTTTTTGTGAAATGTTTTGCTTGAATATTTTACTTTTTAATAAATAAAAATAATAATTAGACCACATAGATATTTGATTAAATGCAGCAGCATATATTTTTAAGTGGCCGTGTACTTTTTAGGGTCACAGTGAGTTAAATCAGTTGTCCTCATGGTGGCACTCTTCAAGCACGAATTTAAAAACATTTGTCTAGTTGTACCTCCCATCTTTCTACTCCATTAGACAACTCTAATTCCTCACTAAACCACTAACCTAAAGTTCCTGATGCCTGCTATTTGTCTTTTTTATTTTTATTGCACTGTGCATTGCTGGTTAAAATCATACAGAACATGCATATGAGAATAATACTTTAATATAATCGAGTTCACCCTGACCAAAAAGTAGTATACTTCAAGTTTATTTTATTAAGTATACTTAAGTAAAGTTCAAGTATGTTTTTAAGTATACTTTATGTAGTAAGTATACAAATATCAGTGTACTAGTAGTATACTTGTAAGTGTATTATTTCAATACTCCTTGGGACTAAATTGGCCCACTTTCTAGTATATAAAAGTATACTTTTAAGTATACTTTAAGTATAACAGTAGTAAACTTTGAGTACACAACTAGTTTACATCAATGTTTTTAGCTTGTACTGCTACTATACTAAAAGTGAACTTATAGGTATACTGATAGTTTACTAATTAAATACGTGTAGTAGCATTTTAGTAAACTACTAGTTTAGTAGTTTTATACTGCAAGTATACTCGTAAGTTTTCTTTAAGTGAACTTTACATCATACTTTAAACATACTACTATGTCCCTATTTAGGTATTAATTTGTATATATTTTGTTATATGAATATCTGAACATACAAAACATCAAAAGAAAGAACAGTGTATCTGCTTGTAAACAAAAAAATTTTTATTCTAGCTTCATGCATTCTTTTTTAAACACTTGAATGTGGTACGTTTCATAAAAAATAAAGAAATAAACAACATTTTGAACAAAAAGCTGAAAAAAGACTATGAATTGGATTCAGAATGATAATCAAAACATAGATAGAGTCGATCAACACCCCAAAGCTTGACAGTCATTATTACCTCTTCATGGGTCGACATTTTATTCCATTACGTTACACAGTTTTGATGCTGTTTTATGTCTGATGATCGTGTTATAATACGTGTGGAAGCGTCTGTTGTTTCGGTTTCTTCTTCACTTGTATTTTTTGGAAATTCTGTACAGAAGATGTGTACTAGCGCCCCCTACAGTATAACAATGAAAACACGGATTCTAGGAGCACAATTATACAGTAGCTCAAATATATTTAGACTTTTTCAAGTATAAGTCAAGTATACTTAAATGCCATTTTAAGTATATTTCTGAGAAGAACAGAAAGCCAATTTCTGTACAGAAAAAGTAGACTAAAAGTATACTTTCCTATTTTTTTGTTTAAAAGAAGTATATTAATAGCACACTTGAATAAACTTCTTTTTCGTAAGGGCAGTTATATACATTTGTCTTTTTCTGTGTGTGCTCACTCTTCTACAGCAGCGTCCGGACGAGTCGGAGCGCGAGGGCTGGGAATATGCCTCTTTATTTGGCTGGAAGTTTCACCTTAAGCAGAGGAAGACTGACTCCTTCCGTCGCCGGCGCTGGAGATACCGTATGGAGCCATTAGAAAAGACGGGGCCGGCGGCCATCTTTTCCTTGGAGTGTTCGCTGGTAATGAGGGTTGACTATTTGAGTGATGTGGAGCTGAAATTGGGTTGAGATTTAGAAAGAGAGACAGTAATTGAAGGAAAGGAAAGTGGTCGGAGAGAATCAAATGTGGGTGAAATGCAATTAGGACAAGGCAAAGGCGAGAATGGGTATGGAGGGCTTTGAGCTTGGACGAATCGGAGGTGCTGATAGAGACTGGGCAAGCAATGTGGAATCAGCCTGATAAAATAAGGGCATCATGGGATATCATTTACAGGGAGACAGAGATGGAACAGTGAGTGTGAAAGACGTTGTATGCATAAAGCCTAGTTAGTATGCTTATTCTTTTACTCATAGTCTGGTCCACTGGGTCCATTGTTACGGATCCATTCCAGGCAGCTTTGGCATGAGATGTCGTAGGCTTGGCTGGCTTGAGAACTCATAGTTGATGAGGGTCTGGAATGGATCCATGGTGCAAGTAAAAGGCCCCAGTGCCTTGCAAAGGTCAACCTGAAAACTCGGACCCAGAGACATCGAGTATAAGCATCAAATACTCAATTTAGTCATTTTCAATTATTTCCATATGATGTGGAGTGTTTTAACCTTTAATTGTTAGATTAAAACTGAATGAACTTTCATTGGAATAACTTTCCAAAACAACTGTGAGAGAGAGAGAGAGAGAGAGAGAGAGAGAGAGAGAGAGAGAGAGAGAGAGAGAGAGAGAGAGAGAGAGAGAGAGAGAGAGTGAGTGAGAGAGAGAGAGTGAGTGAGTGAGTGAGTGAGTGAGTGAGTGAGTCGTTTGGGACAAACTGACTGATTCAGAATCAGGCTAGAATGAATCCTTTTCAACGCTACATATGAGAGAAATTACCCTTTACTGTTCACTAGAATGAATCAGACTTTCCACCTCTACATGTACATATAGGGAGCCGTTTATGATGAATTACATAACTAGAATGAATCAGACTTTTAACAGCTACATATGAGATACACAGCAGTTTAAGACAAACTGATTCAGTACATGAATTATACTTTTTACTGCTACATATGAGAGAGAGAGAGTCATTTTGTTTCACTAAAAAGAATCCGATTTTCCAGTGCTTTTCATGAGAGAGATTCATTTAGATTGAAATTGATTAACTAGAATGAATCGAATTGAAAGATTGTTGTTTAAGAGAGAGAGCAGTTTAGAACGAACACATTCACTAAAATAAATCAGACTTTTCTGATTCACATGAGCGACTGAAAGGCAGATTTCCTTATACTTCAGCTTGTTTGTTGCTAAAAGCTGTGTGCATAAACATTGTGACATTAAAAATAGCGATTCAGCATTTGGTTGCACTACACAACTATTCGTTGGAATTGAATTCCAAATTTTCTTCTTGTTCTAGAGGGCACTTTGGAGGGTTTTTCTTTTCTTTTTTTCTCCAAAACCATACAAGGGTATTGGGTTATGTAAATATTAGGTAGCCACAAATGACATAGCAGTTTCTGTCTGGTTAAGAGACATAATCTAGCATTTTATTCAGAGAAGGTCAACATTTTTGTGTCAAAATGATATTCAAGTGTTTTGGGGCGGTGACTTGTAATCACTTCTTGCCAGTGGTTTGTGGCAGTTGCCCTTTCCACAACTGACAGAAGAGTCATCATTAACACATACTTTGTTTACCCTTTTGGTTGGAATATTGTGATATCTTATCCAACATGAATGCCTTGTCTTGTCCCATCTCCAAGATGTGTGAGACTACTGTTTAGGTTGAAGGAGCATAATGTGTCTCACAGTGTTTTTATTTTCTCCTTTTTTGTCAACAGACCAGTGTTACTGATGAAAAGAATGATGATAAGTCAGTTACAACAACCTTTGGTGTCAACCGCCCGACCATCTCCTGCTTCTTTGATAGTGAGTCAAACACGTTCTTACTTCATTTGACAGTTTTAAGTGATGGCTGAAACTACACTGATGTTCTTCTTCTTGATTCTTCAGATGGGACCCTGTATCATTTGCGATGTTACTTGTATCAGGCCAGAGACCTGCTGGCAATGGATAAGGACAGTTTCTCAGGTGAGCATATAATACCTTTACCATGAGCCAGCGGAAAAGGTAGATGTATTACCCAAACATAACTATTACAGACATATCAAGGGTTGCGTACAATTCGAAATTGAATTAATTCTTTTTTTTAAATTCCAATGCAAAATTTTAAAAAATGTTTAACCTATTTTATACTTACACAGGGTAGTGTATATTTTAGCATTTTGCTTAAAAAATGTAATTCAAAAAGAGATATTAAGAAATAAAAAAAGCCATTTCTTCTATTCTGAATTTTGCCCAACCCTGATGTAAATCAAGTTTTTCAAGGTCAAAACCTATAAAAATAAACAAAAGCAATGTTTCTTTTTTAGTCTTGTTGTTTAAAATCTGATCAAATCTATGCATAGTATCAAGAAATATATGCACCAGTCATTCATTTTGTAAAGCAGCTGCATTTGTTTTGGCAGAATCTACATGTCTTGCACTGTGACCTCTCTGATCTTGAACTTGTGGTTATTTGCATGGATTCCGAGTAATATATCATTTTGAATGCAATACTAGCGTGACATTCAGACACACAGCAGGCATCTGCAAAATCAGCTTTTTAAAAACATTTACTACAATACCACATAGCATTAAGTGCCCTCTGCCAGCTGCAATGACATTTTGCACAAGTTAACATACAATAAGTTAAGTATTTCCAGGTCATGCGGTGACACAAATTGAGGTCAATGTGTAGTCCTAATGTGAAGCATATGGAGAGCGATAGCGTAACACAACAGAATTAAGATTTTATAAATTTCTCTTAAAAAAAAGATCAGTATTGCCTAGAATAATAGGAGCATTTTATAAATAACAAAATCATAAAAGTGAAGTCTTTGAGATGTAATGGTAGAGGAACCGTAACTGAGCTTACATCAGAGGGGGTGAAATATTGTGCCTGACACAGACTGGGTCAAGCGTAGCCCAGAGAGAAGTGAAATGAAGTAGATTTACAATGGTGTCCATGAGAGAAGACATTGGCAGCGAAGATGTAAAAAATGTCATTTTCGGAGCCATGGTCTAGCGGTTAATGCATGAGCTCTGATGCTGTTGCTCTCATAGGCAAAGCAAGTTTGAATCTAGCTTGCAACGTATCCCATTACCTTGCTCTCTCCCTATGCCTTTCTGATCTTTAAAAAGTGAAAAGCCCTGAAAAAAGGCTAATCAAAATGAGACATTATAGTCTGAATTTGCTGCTCTGCTCTCTGCTTTTCTTTTTGATTTACTGGAGCTAGTTCCTTTTTTGCCAAGCTAATTTTCTTAAGAAATAGTCTTCCATGAGTTGTGTCCTTGGAAAGTATCAAAACAAGTGCACATAAAGCATGTGCACTGCATGTATTTTTATTGAAGATGCATGTGTGAAGTTTTGTTGGGTCAAAGGATGGGATTTAATTGTGGGATTGTGGTTAGAGCAGCATATGATGATGTAAACTGCCTAAACACACACATTAGGTAAAACCTCTGGTTTTGCAGTTGTTGCTAGTAGGAAAAGTGCTTCTTTCTTTTTAATAATCATGTGTTTTTGCTGTTTATTGGCTATGTAATTTTTGTAATGATTTTCTCTAACTCTTTAGAACAAGAACTTAATTTAAAAATGTTTTCAATGTTTCAAAAACATCCCACCCACCATGATTTGCCCAGATTTTCAATAATGTTTTATTGTATAGTTGTGTAATGAATATTGTAGAATTGCTGGCCCAAACGGAATCTGGGCCCACAGAATTCTACAGAAAGCTTAGCAGATTTGTCATTCCCAAAGTTCTACACCACTTTGCCACTTGTGTGTTTGTTTATTGTGTTTTCTTTTTATAATTACAATTTGAGAGATTTATTCATAAATGTATTTCAGCTACCAAACGTGTAGTGTTCTCAGCTCTGTTTAAGCCATTTTGCCATATTTAAATTAATTCCACAGAAATCCCCTCATAAATGTGCAGATTCCGTGTGGGCCTTGTTATTACCTTATATTAATATTACCTATTAATAAACATGAATTGAGTTTTTATTCAGAATGTGACACTGATTGTCGATGTTGGCAAAAAAACAGTCATTTAAAAAGTCAAATATAAAAGAACTTTCTTGGCAACACCGGAGCAGTATTTCACCCCTCTTTAAACCAGAGCGAGTCTGTTGCCATGGTCTAAAGCTCAAAGTTGTGGTAGTGAAATTTTTAACTCAGAGAGCTCCACGTCATTAAAATGCAGGCAAAATACGCCTGCTGGTTATCACCCATTAGAAATGTCTGGTATAAATCTCCAATGCATGGAAAAACCATAGTCTAAGCATGGGAACAAAGTGGACAAGGATGAAAAGAAAAAAGGAAAACGGACATTAAGGTGGAGAAAGATCTGAAGTATATTGTTTTTTGTTTTTTTGTAAAATCTTGGAAATGTAGCTACCCGGGCTATGTGTTTAAGGTTCATTCTGAACCCGCAAGCACAGATGAAAAAACATTGAGGATCCTTTTAAAAATACAGGCCTGGTATAAATCAGGCCAGTCTGGCGCTCTGATTACAAATCTACAAATAGTTTTGGGTCGGTCTCTTGATGCACAAAACCCAGCCTAGATCTTTTACAGGGTTCGGAGCTCTGAGGAAAATGAATAAATCAACTTGGAGGCAGAAATCACTTGTTCTTGGTGCGCTTGAGACGGAGTTTGGTAAAGGGAAATGATCGATGGACCGCAATATTTATAAAGGAGGGGAAAATGTAGAGCTGCATCAGTGCTTTGGCTACTGGAGGAGGACTAGAGGAAGTCAGAGGTTTGGGTCAGATGCTACAAGGCTGTAAATGTCAGATTACACTCAGACATCAGCAAAAGATATCTATCTATTTGTCTATCTGTTTTTATCTATCTATATGTCTGTCTGTTGCTCTGTCCGTCTGTCCTTCTGTCTGTCTGTCTGTCTCACTCCAATTGTTGGTCTTTATGTCTCGCTCAGTCTATCTATCTATCTATCTGTCTGCCTGCCTGCCTGCCCACCCGCCCGCCCGCAGTGTTTGCACAGTTAAACACTGTATAGTATTAATATATGGGAAATGATCCATAGTCAAATTTCTTTGTTGCCTTTCTGTTTTCTTTGAGCATGTCATTGTTCCCAGAGGTCATGCATCATGTTTGAGTCGTACACGTGGGCATCCTTCGACATGTCCAGTCCCACAATGCCCTTGGGGAAGACAGTTTATTTACTGTTCACTGTAAGCAGCCAGATTAGACACTGCCTGTGTTTATTTCCCATTGGCTCCTGGGTAACAGTGCACGCTCCCCATAACTTGTTTATCCTTTTGTTTATTTGAGCCACTGTGTTTGTGGGAAGTAGGAAGTTGTGTGTGTGTGTGTAAGTAAGCTAGTTTAATAAGAGCTGGGAAAAGTGTCTGTTTCTCCCTCCCAAGTGAAACAATCCCACTGAGGCTGCTTTACGTCGACTGAAATAATAAACTTTGACTGTCTTAACTCAGAGAGCTCCACGTCATTAAAATGCAGGCAAAATACGCCTGCTGGTTATCACCCATTAGAAATGTCTGGTATAAATCTCCAATGCATGGAAAAACCATAGTCTAAGCATGGGAACAAAGTGGACAAGGATGAAAAGAAAAAAGGAAAACGGACATTAAGGTGGAGAAAGATCTGAAGTATATTGTTTTTTGTTTTTTTGTAAAATCTTGGAAATGTAGCTACCCGGGCTATGCGTTTAAGGTTCATTCTGAACCCGCAAGCACAGATGAAAAAACATTGAGGATCCTTTTAAAAATACAGGACTGGTATAAATCAGGCCAGTCTGGCGCTCTGATTACAAATCTACAAATAGTTTTGGGTCGGTCTCTTGATGCACAAAACCCAGCCTAGATCTTTTACAGGGTTCGGAGCTCTGAGGAAAATGAATAAATCAACTTGGAGGCAGAAATCACTTGTTCTTGGTGCGCTTGAGACGGAGTTTGGTAAAGGGAAATGATCGATGGACCGCAATATTTATAAAGGAGGGGAAAATGTAGAGCTGCATCAGTGCTTTGGCTACTGGAGGAGGACTAGAGGAAGTCAGAGGTTTGGGTCAGATGCTACAAGGCTGTAAATGTCAGATTACACTCAGACATCAGCAAAAGATATCTATCTATTTGTCTATCTGTTTTTATCTATCTATATGTCTGTCTGTTGCTCTGTCCGTCTGTCCTTCTGTCTGTCTGTCTGTCTCACTCCAATTGTTGGTCTTTATGTCTCGCTCAGTCTATCTATCTATCTATCTGTCTGCCTGCCTGCCTGCCCACCCGCCCGCCCGCAGTGTTTGCACAGTTAAACACTGTATAGTATTAATATATGGGAAATGATCCATAGTCAAATTTCTTTGTTGCCTTTCTGTTTTCTTTGAGCATGTCATTGTTCCCAGAGGTCATGCATCATGTTTGAGTCGTACACGTGGGCATCCTTCGACATGTCCAGTCCCACAATGCCCTTGGGGAAGACAGTTTATTTACTGTTCACTGTAAGCAGCCAGATTAGACACTGCCTGTGTTTATTTCCCATTGGCTCCTGGGTAACAGTGCACGCTCCCCATAACTTGTTTATCCTTTTGTTTATTTGAGCCACTGTGTTTGTGGGAAGTATGAAGTTGTGTGTGTGCATGTGTGTAACTGGGCTAGTTTAATAAGAGCTGGGAAAAGTGTCTGTTTCTCCCTCCCAAGTGAAACAATCCCACTGAGGCTGCTTTACGTCGACTGAAATAATAAACTTTGACTGTCCCTCCAGTTTCTGGCATTCCTAAGTAATTGATGTCACTCTGCACCTTAAGTGCATATGTTTATTTAAATGTTTGGATGTTGTTTAGTTTAAAGGAATAGTTTACCAAAAATTTTAATTCTGCTGTTTAATTACTCGCCCTCATGTCATTAAAAGCTCATATGCTGTTATTATTTGCAGAGAAATTTGGAAGAATGTACACATTCCTATTTTCAGTGACAGTTCATAGTTCCAAAAAGGACAAAAAAGTAATCCATATTACTTGTTCCTAGTGTTCTGAAGTCATATTAAAGCCTTTGTTCAAATTCACATTTTGATAAAGCTCACAAATGTGAATTTGTGCTTGCATTCAAATTTGGCTTCTTTAGATAGTCACATATGCCTATTTGTAGAAAAAGTGTAATTTAATAGCTACAGTAACATCTTAAATTTCAGTCTATACCACAGAGCTGGCATATGACTTGGAATACAGCACATATGGACACATTTTTGCTTTTCTTTGGCACTATCAGCTTATATCAGCTTTTATAATTTTATAGAAGTGAAGCATGCACATTCTTTATAATTTCTATTTATTTAATTTAGTTTCTATTTTATTGCATACAGATGAGAATGACAGAGTTTTCATTTTTGGGTGAACTATCTCTTTAAAACCCTCACTTAAATACATAAACACTCATACATGCACATGCATTGGCTAACTCACTCATCTTTACATAGACCTACTAAAGTTAAAAAATGGTCTCACCCTCCCTACGCCATAACTCAGGGTATCTCTGGTTCTTTTCACTTCCATAATTGATGTTATATTCTTGGCAAAGTCCCCCTCATTACAGAACCAAATAAAAACAGAAATGCTTGTGTTTATTGTGTTTACTGATGCATTGAAAGTCTTGTTCTGAGGAGAATGTACCAAATCACTGCCTCAGTCTTGATGGCAAACAGACTTCAATGAGTTGATGGCTGCACATCTTTCCTAACTCTTGATGCAGTTCTTTCCATTTCATTTATCATCTATGTGGCAATATAACCTCTGTTTGACCTAACGTAGCCTTTCTCATTTCAGTTGACAGTTTAAATCTCGTTTTTGACCGTATACAAATGCACATTACCCACGCTATTCCCTCTCGATGTGAACTTCCAAATCATGCCATACTTCATTACTCATTTTGACATGAAAATGAGATGCAATTCATTAATCTTTAATGATTCTTTGACTCTTTGATTAGATCCCTATGCCATTGTGTCCTTCCTGCATCAGAGCCAGAAGACAGTGACTGTTCGGAACACGCTCAATCCCACCTGGGACCAGACCCTCATATTTTATGAAGTGGAAATATTTGGAGACCATCTCGTGACTGAGAGGAACCCTCCACACATTGTGGTGGAACTGTACGATCAGGACACCTATGTGAGTTTTCATTGTGTTGGTATATAACTCATAACTCCATGCAAGTACAGCTCATATCTATTTGAATGAGGAAAGACTGAAGTCTGTCTAATGGTTTGAAAAAATTATGTTTAAATAATGGATTTAAAAATAAACTCTTAAAATCTGACAACAGTGGTATCATATATTGCACTTCTTAAACCAGTGTTGTTATTGTTAACTAAAACTAAACCTATTAAAAATAGTTTTCGTTAATTGAAATAAAGCTAAAATAAAATAAAATATTAAAAACTTGAGAAACTAAAATTAGAAATGTTGCCTTGGCAACTTATTGAAATAAAATATGTTTAAGTTGCTAAAGTACTAAAAGTACTAAAATGATAAAATAATTATAAGTTATAAAAGTACTAAAATACTGAAATTCTAAAAGTACTAAAACTATAACAGAATGAATAAATAAATATACATATCCCCCCCCCCCCCAGGAAGGAAACAAACAATACAGTCCCCCCCCCCCCCCAGGTAGGTATAGATAATATTAAATATTAAGTGTTATGCTTACTTATAATAATAATAATAATAATAATAATATATTTACGTGACAGAATTTTAAAATTGATGATACCACAAGAATAGACTAATATTGGAAACCTTAATTCATATACAGAAGTGAAGTAAAGTCGAATAAAGTAGTAGTAAAGTAGTGCTAAACTATTATTTCACAGACAGAAAGCTAAGACTATGAAACATCTCAAACAAAACTCTGAATGACGTGTTGTCGGAGGCTTAGACTAGTGTCACATAGGTTTCATTTAATGTCTATGAAACAGAAAATGCTTGATAAGTTATTTAACCCCTGCAGGGTGCTGATGAGTTTATAGGCCGTTGTGTTTGCAAATCATCAGTGGTGTCTTCCCCTCGCCTCGCCTGGTATCCCATCCAGAAAGCTGGGAAGCCTGCTGGAGAACTGCTTGCTGCTTTCGAACTGATCCGCAGAGATAAAGTAAGAGTTAAATGAATTATCTTCCTCATAGTCATTATTATTATCATTTGTAATATTGTAACTGACATCTGTGGCCTTAATTTTCCAATTTTCAGTCTCTTTGTGAATGACACATGACATAAGGCTATAAAGGTCACAGTCCTTCACAATTAAGGTGACCTCAATGATGATTCTGTGGGATTCTTTGCATCTTCTAGACACATCTAGCCCAGCTTTTGCCTGCAGCATCTCTGTTGAAAGAAATGCTTTTGTTATGAGTCTAACCCACAAGTGTTTAAATGGCACATATCCCAGCTTCTCCAGCACCACAGAGGAAGTTTAGTGGCTCCTTCACCCACGCGGTTGTATTTGTATGCATAGCGCCTGACAACATATGATTTAAAATGCAAAACAGCTCTTAGTTTTTATAGTACAAAATAATTTAGTCATTGCTCTTCATTCATTCATTCTTTCTTTCTTTCTTTCTTTCTTTCTTTCTTTCTTCACAGCCTGCAGTTCATCACATCCCCGGTCAAGAGGTTAGTCATATTTCTTGAAGTTGCCCATCTTTTTTTTGTCCTTTTCCCCTTTGCTTTCTTTAAAAAATGCACAAACACACACACACTTCCTGTCCTCCAAGTCATCGTTACTCCCTGTTCTCTCAGTCAAGCACGACTGAGTAATTGGATAGAGCTGCCGTAAATGACATAAACATCACTGTATCTGAACCGGTTTCACTAGCCCTGTCTGTTTGGAGACTGGCACCGCTCAGCAGCTCTCAGTTCAGGCAAGCAGCCCTGTCTGGGCAATGCAGACAGCCAGGAGACTGATTGGAGATGCCAGTGGAGTTTAAAAGTGCCAGAGGCCCCACCCAGTCCAAACCTGCCCAGCTGGCATCAGTTAGAGTGGGATAATCACAGGGAAATTGAATTAAAGTGAACCCTTAGAGAACAGTCAAACCACCCACCCACGCACACACACAAACAAATACCCACACAGTAACACTATTTATTTTAAAAGTCTTTTTTCTTCTTCTTTCCCCCCCCAGGGGGATATTATACCACCCTCACATATCATGGATGAGGTAAGTGTTGGTAGAAGATTCAGTGAATAGACAATTAATCTTTTTTGCAGTTGTTCCAGAGCATCTCTTTCCTGTTCTCTCGTTCATTTTCCCCTCTCTGTTTATTTTGGGCATCTTCAAGCTTGTGCTTCCAGGGTTCCTCTCTGACAATCAACAGCAATGGGTACAATTCAGCATGCATTGATTGGAGATGCCAGTGGAGTTTAAAAGTGCCAGAGGCCCCACCCAGTCCAAACCTGCCCAGCTGGCATCAGTTAGAGTGGGATAATCACAGGGAAATTGAATTAAAGTGAACCCTTAGCGAACAGTCAAACCACCCACCCACGCACACACACAAACAAATACCCACACAGTAACACTATTTATTTGATTTTAAAAGTCTTTTTTCTTCTTCTTTTCCCCCCCAGGGGGATATTATACCACCCTCACATATCATGGATGAGGTAAGTGTTGGTAGAAGATTCAGTGAATAGACAATTAATCTTTTTTGCAGTTGTTCCAGAGCATCTCTTTCCTGTTCTCTCGTTCATTTTCCCCTCTCTGTTTATTTTGGGCATCTTCAAGCTTGTGATTCCAGGGTTCCTCTCTGACAGTCAACAGCAATGGGTACAAGCATGCATGCACATACACAAACACATCTCACTGTTTTTAGTAGAAACTTTTGATAAAACACTATGAAAACACAGGACATGTGGTTCCACCATATTAAACCAGAACTAATGATTACAAAAGTAATGCAGACTTTTATAGCGGTCAAGCATTTCTTCAAATATTACAACACAACTCAGTGCGTAAGATACTGAGCTGGAAACCATAGTTAGCTCCAAAAGGTCATTCCCACTGGCTTTCATTAGGCTGTGGATATGGAGTGTTGAGATATGGACTTTTTTTTTTGTCACTGGTGGGTAGATTCCTCCAGAACTCTATGTATCATCTGCACAAAGATTTGTATTGTTCTGCAGTGGCATTTCAAAAAGACACAGTGATGGACTAATGGTGGAACAAACTATAAGACTGTATAATAACTGCTCTTCATTAGATACAAACTCACATAGGGACAGAAACATTGGCATGTAGCCAAAAATAAATGAAAACATTGGCAATACATGGTTCATGGTCTTGCACTTTCCCTTTTCCTCTGTATTCCACATTACTATCTTTGTTTTGCTGGAAATAACAGCAAGATATTATTAAGACCTAGGGATGCACTGATATTAAATGACCAATAACAACAACATATTGTGTGTTATTCTAAAACAACAAAACGTAATATTTGGCAATATTCACGACTTGATTGCACAGACACTGTTGGATGAGAACTGAACTGAGCTAGATGATGACATCACTGTTTTCTCCAGAGCTGCTTTAAAGATGATTTGAACTCATTCCATAATAGATTAACTTTACAGAGTTATTAAACTGAACTGAATCAACAATGAACTGACTTTAACTGAAAAAGTGACTGGTTACTGTTGTCCTCCTTTTAGAGCTGCTTTACAGCAGAATTGAATTTTGCATCATTGAAACATTAGTTTTCTGTTTAACACTGTAAAGCTTGACATGATCTGTATTATATAAAGCATTATATACTGTAAATAAAGGTGTCTTGACTTAAATAAAATTCTATACTATTTTGACTAAAAATAAAAATCAAACTCTTAAATACTGAAATCAATTGTTTTAAATGCTACAAGTGAATTTAGGCATCACAGCATTATAATGTACAGTATGATAAAATAATATTCATTATGAATATACAATTTAGTACATTTTACGGTCCCACTTTATATTAAGTGGCCTTAACTACTATGTACTTACATTTAAATTAATCATTTGGTACAATGCACTTATTGTGTGCATACATGTTATTACATTGTACTTATATTTGAAAAACTATCTGCATGTAATTACATCTGTAATTCATTTCTGTAATTACATTTATAATTACACTGTTGACCCATCCCTTACACCTTAACCGACCTTAAACCAACCCATATTACGAAACCTGTCCCTAACCTTACCCGTATCTCACCTCAATAGCAGCAAATGTGTTTTGCAATACAATATGAACACAATAAGTACATTGTACTTATTTTTTGATGTAAGTACATAGTAGTTAATATAATATAATATAAAGTGTGACCAATTTTACATTTAACAATGTTATTAAATGTTACAAATTAACCTTAATTGATCATTAGATGACAGCAAATGTAATCTAAAATGTACACTGTACAAGTCATTTCAACTGAAATTATATTTAACTGACTATCTTTTATAACTTATATATTTTATACCGTTATCGTTACCGTAAAAAGTTGAAATTGCTTTAATTAATTTGATGAGTTAAAATATTAGAAAAACATATGTTCCCATTACTTATTGATCATATAATTTTTTTACAGTGTAAAAATAGGATAAATGTGGTACCAATTTACCAATATTGTTATTATTATTTTTAATTCCTGTAGTTACCTGTAAACAGAAGAGGATAGCGCTAGCAGCACCAGGGTCATAGTTTCGATTCTTAGGGAATGCATAAACTGATCAATTTTATACCTTGAATGCAATGTACAGTAAGTAGCTTTGGATAAAAGCATTTGCCAAATGCATAAATTTAACGTAAATACAATATATAACATGCATCCCTACTGAATTAATTCAGTTTGTCCTTTGAATACTGTGGCCTTTCCAAAATGATTTGTTTGTATCTAAAGACATGAGCATGTTGAGTACTGAGTTTGTGTAATTGCTGGGAAATGTCCTCATTTATCAAGTACATGTAGATTAGCCATGCTTCCTTGAAAGTGTGTCTGTTTTAATGACATTCTTTTAAATCCTTGCCTTAACTTAATTAAGTTAGACATTACATAGTCTAATTCTCCATGACTGAAGCATATCTCCAAAGGTCCCTTTTCACAGAGCACCACTGTATTCAACAGTAGTACCATTCATCAAACAATTGCACTGGCACAACACAGTCCTGGCTAATCATTACTTGTGTGTGTGTGTGTGTGTGTGTGTGTGTGTGTTGTGGCTTAATTGCTAACTTTGATTGGCATGTGAAGTCATGATGTTTGACTTTTTGTTGCTGCTATTAGTAACCAATTCCTTGTTTGTTTTCACACCCTTTTTCGAATTTGGGTGCGTCATGCAAATGTACTTATAGAGAAGAATGGAAACATAGTGCTTGTGAAGTCCTCTAAATGTATTCTTTGTCTCCTTCAATAGTGAAGACAACATTTTGCATGGTTTTTGAAACTGTGAATGCATTTCAGCCATCCTTACTTGCTTGTTGTATATAGTTAAATGCAGAATATCCACAACAGTGTTATTTTACATGCTGTTCTTGTTTATAATAATATTTTAAATAAGCTTTTTCATTTTAGTTTACTTTTTTTTTTGTAATTTTTTTTGTAATTTTGTTATGTGCTTTTGTTGATGTTTTTGTTATTATTATTATTATTATTATTATTATGGATATCACTGTTTAAGTTGAATTTTTATTTCATTTATAATTTTAGTTTGTATTTATTTCTGGTTAAATATATTTTTGTTTATTTCCGGCTATTTTAGTGCTACTCGTATAACTTAAAAAATAAAGTTGAAATTGGTTTAATTAATTTGATGTGTTAAAATATTGGAAAAAAACATTCAAAACATTTCCAATTTATGCTTAGTTTAAGTTTTTATCTAATATTTATGTTTTATTTTCTTTCAGTTTTATTTAAATTAACAAAACTATTTTTAATAGTTTTAGTTTTATTTAATGATAACAACACTGATCCTTATGAACTTTTCACTTTATGCTTTACTCTTCATTATTAGCCAGAGGACTCTGATTTGCCTTATCCACCTCCACAGAGGGAACCTAATGTCTACATGGTGCCGCAGGGCATAAAACCTGTCCTACAACGCACTGCTATTGAGGTGGGCCCAAAACCTATCCTTAGGTTATCCATTTATAGTTTCAAAAGCTTCTAGTGCAGTATAGACTATTTGAACCTCACAAAAAGCACTGACATTTGGCTGTTTTACTACTCATGATTACTTTAGGACATTGCACCTCATGTGCCTTAACCTTTTAACCTTTTAACTCTTAGATACTGGTGTGGGGTTTGCGTAACCTGAAGAGTTTCCAGTTGGCTAGTGTGACATCTCCCAGTCTTCAGGTGGAATGTGGAGGATGTGTGGTTCAGTCATGCGTCATTCGAAATGCTAAGAAAAACCTCAACTTTGATGTCAACACCCTGTTCATTGATGTCGTAAGCTCTTGGTCTTGTGCTTGTTTGTTTTTATCTGCATAATTTTGTTTAAAATTAGGTCAAATTGGGAAGATTAGATACGCTAAAATTAGGTAAGGTTTAAAGGAATAGTTCTCCCAAAAATGAAAATTTGATGAACATTTACTCACCCTCAGACACCATCCAAGATGAATGTAGATGTGTTTTTTTCTTCATCATAACAGATTTGGAGAAATTTAGCATTACATCGCTTGCTCAGCAATGGATCCTCTGCAGTGATTGGGTGCTGCCCATAAGAATTAGAGTTCAGACAGCTTATAAAAACATCACAATAATCCACATGACTTCAGTCCGGCAATTAATGTCTTGTGAAGTGAAAATCTGCATGTTTGTGAAAAACAACTCCATCATCAAGGTGTCACAGTGTTGGTTGTGGTGCCCTGGACTGGCCACTTGAGGGCGCTCTGTCTGTTCTTGTATGTGTTAAACTCCATTTCCCATAGTCCCCTGCTTTAATTCTGTTCTGATCAGTAGCACCTGTTATCATTTACTCATTATCCCTGCTATATATACCATGCTCACTCTGTCTGTCATTGCGTCTGGATTGTATTGTCTTCTAGTTGGTGTTGTCGGTGTCAGGTTTTTGGATAACCTTTTGCAACGTTTTGTCCTGTTATTATTTGCAATAAACTGCACATGGAACTTACCCTGTTTCCTCCTGGCATTCCGTGACACAAGGTGATTTAACTTTAAACCGTCACTTCTGGCCAAAATGCCAGTTAATTTAATCCATATGAATGATTCCTCCAGTGAAAAAGTTCATCCCCTGTTGTCCTCTCACATCAGTATCTACCAACATATTTATTTACAGTCGTGATCAGAATTATTGGCACCCTTGGTAAATATGATCAAAGAAGGCTGTGAAAATAAATCTGCATTGTTAATCATTTTGATCTTTTATTTAAAAAAAAATCACAAATATCTAACCTTTCATTGAACTAAAACAATTGAAAATGGGGGAAAATCTAATTATGAAATAAATGTTTTTCTCAAATATATACTGGACACAATTATTGGAACCCCTAGAAATTATTATGAGTAATATCTGTGAAGTATATTCCCATTCATATTTACAATTTTGAGCATACCAGGGTGATTATGAACATGAAATTATCCAGTGTCCAATGTGTATTGGAGAAAAACATTTATGTCATAATGATATTTCCCCCCATTTTAAATTCTTATTCTCCAATGAAAGGTTAGATTTATGTGAATTTTTAAAATAAAAGATCAAAATGATTAACAATGCAGATTTATTTTCACAGCCTTCTTTGATCATATTTACCAAGGGTGCCAATAATTCTGACCATGACTGCAGAACTGTTTTGGACTGTTTTTGCTTGTAAACGGTGCTTGATGTGTGCATATTTCTCTCCTGATTCAGAAGAGATGACTTTTTCACTGTAAAAAATATTCTGATTAGAGGACAGTTTTACTGTCAGAGGACTTTTTGCTGGAAACAATGTTTGAAGTTAAAAACGTCTTAATGATGGTTTTGTTTATTGCAAACAGGCAGCCTGTGGATTACTTACATGTTTGTTATTGTAATGTTTTTATCAGCTGTTTGAACTTTCATTCTGACGGCACCCATTCACTGGTGAGCAAGTGATGCAATAGTAAATTAATCCAAATCTGTTTCGATGAAGAAACAAACTCATCTTGGATGGCCTGACGGTAAATAAAATTTCAGCAAATTTGTATTCTATTTATTTAAATTTTCTTTTAACTTTTTCATCAAGGCTGAATACAAAAATAACACGTCTATTGTAACTATCAAATGTTAATAAATACAGTTGACCTTTGCCTGAGCCCTCTTCAGAGATTTCTTGTAGATTCTTCATGTAGAAATCTGGTTAAAATATCAAATTTTGTGTTACAGCATGCTGCTAACCAGTTGAGACAGGCTTATATACAATGTGGTCATGGTGTCCTTCACATGGTGGATGTTTCAGTGATGACTGGCACAGTAACAATGTTCCCCAGCAATGAGCGTCAGTTCTTAATTCCAAAACGTAAGATAGTCTGGATTCCGTTCCAATACTCATCTAGGACTGGGAGGCATCGCATGGAAAGAATGCTGAATGACTAGCAAAGTTATTTGCACTGTCAGTTGTGGTCAGCCCTGTGCCATACTTTGTCATGTTTGCCTCAGTTTAGGGTGTGAAATACTTTCACACAGTATGAAAGGAGAGAGAGAGGAAGATTCTGTGGAATAACAACGGAAATGGAGAAATAAACAAGTCATTATGTTAGAAGTTAAAGGTTTGGAAGCCTTGCATCTCTTTATGTTCATATCTTTGCTATTTGTAATCTCTTCTTCACTCTAGCGACTGCCCAAGGAAGAGCTCTACATGCCCCCATTGGTGATCAAGGTTATAGACAACCGTCAGTTTGGCAGGAAGCCTGTAGTGGGCCAGTGCACAGTCCACTCGCTCAATGAGTTCTGCTGTCAGCCAGAGAGCCTGGACAGAGACCCTACGGAAGAAGAATTTGGTGAGATAATAATAAGGGAAATAAGGGAATGACTAAATACCATTTTTACCATATTGTTTCTACCTGCACATCAAAATGCAATAAATAATCACAAAGGAGCAGCAAGTAACAATTAAGCATAGAAAGAACGAAAGAAAGGATATTGGAGAAAAGTAGCTGTATTTTTAGTTTTTTTTGTGTATATAGACATATTAGAACCTGTTCTAATTCAGAACAAAAATAAAAATTTACCATTAACAGTTCTCGAGTTTGCATTCTTCTGATGATGTAGATGAAACATGTTTTATGCTTAGAGTATTTATGGTATATTTCCATCAACAGAGGCAATTGCTCACACCCCTAGAGATGACTTCCTGGTTGATATTGATGATAAGGAGCCTCTCATTCCTGGACAGGTATGATCAGTCTTTTTAACTGCAGCTTAAAATGTTTTCTTCAACATTTCCTTCTTTCTGTTAGCTGATTGACAAGGTGATATGTAGTGCTGCATCTTCTCAACCATCTTCTGTAACTTCCTAAAAACCTCCTAGAAATCTTTATCTTTAAAATCCAGCAAATTACAAACAACTGGAAAAGTCATGTGGCCTTTGAATATTGTGGTGGACAGTAGGGTCAAACAGTACAGAACAACTGCTTTATAGCTATGAATACACACTCTTTTTTGTTGTCTGTGATTATGTTAGTCCTCTTGGTTGCTATTCAGTAGCTTGTTGGTCACATAGCTTGGGTTTCTCCAGATTTGTTTAGAGCCTTGTTAGAATAGGCTGTCATAGCAAGGTTAAGCACTTCTGAGCATACACACTGCTTAATAAGGTCTTCTATAAGACTGTATTCTGTATTGCAACAATACAGTTAGCCCACAGTTCAATACATACCTCGGTTTTTTGACCACGGTTTTCAGTTCAGTTCTGATGGCTTGGCACATCAGAGTGTTTTTTGCAATTTGAACTGCTTCAGGTGTGTGATTTTTGCAGAAAATCGGAACTACTTTAACATACCTGAAATGATCCAGGTTTTTATGTAAACTCTATGTCCTCTAGCCTGAAAAGAGCTTGCATTCCCATTAATGAGACACTTATAGAGTGAAAACAGTATCATATTCTATTACACTTGCACAAGCAGAAATACATGCGAGATATGCACAAAATACAGTACATATACACACTATTGGCGATACATGTTAGAACTGTAAATGCAATGAATGTACAGTACATACGGCTGAAAACTACTGCATACAACTGTGAAAAAATATTTAGGAGCACCAATGCAACTGACCCAATCAGGACTGGTTCTACGGGGGTGCACCCTCAGTTGAAACTGATTTTGCAAACTTGCCAGTGGGTATCTGTGTTTGCCCAGTCTGGAGAGCATCATAAGTTTCCATTTACAACGTGTTTTTGTGGCATTGACATACTGAATCTTTTGATTTCTTGAACGGCCAACCAGAGGTGTTTAATCCACTCACCGCTCAAAACACCGGAGTGAATTTTGGTCATTTCCACCACTGGCTACAATATATAGTTATCTGTGTTCTTCAAGCCATCTTGGGTATTTTCATAATGATAAAGTATATTTGTAATCCATTGCAATCGCCTTTATTAGAGTGTAGAATATATTTTCTGCGTCATTCTGTGATGAGAAGCCACATCAGATCACAAAATGAAGTTATTTCAAACATTCGACTGATGTTGTGGAGTAAAAACGCTATAATATTCTCTTTTGTTGTACAACCGGTTTAGAAACGCTTCTCATTGCAAGTCATAACAACGGAAGATGTTTGGCGTGTGTTGCTTTTTCAAATGCACATTATAAGCGGGGAGGCGCTTGCTCATCTCATCATGCAGAATCACAGGCACACACATAGAGCCAATTAAGAGATAAATAAAACACACAAAATGTATTTAAATGCAAAACCTTGACACTATAGGAAAGCATCGATTTTTAGACAGTGAATAGAGGAAGGCTGCTTCTTGAAGGATTGAGAGACAATGGGTATCATAGTATGGACTTTAAAGGGGTCAAACTGAGAAATCAAAATTCCCTTGATCTTTTGACATAAGAGGTCATTGTACTATAAAAACATCCTGTAAGTTTCAGAACTCAAAACTTTCTCGCTAGCCTAAAAACAGCTTATATTGAAGCCAATCTGCCAAAATGACAGGTTGTGGAATGTGGCAATTTAGGACATAATAGTGTGGCTAAACCCCGCCTCCGCAGAAGAAGATCAATCCCTGCTTCTACATCAGTGCCTGTTTAGCCCCGCCCACCGATTCACACATGTAGTGTAAATAACAAGAGAGACAAACACAGGTCTATGCAGAAACCAAACGATAAAGATGGCTCAGAAGACAACAAGACGTTGTGCAGTGCTAAGTTGTGGAAAAACACAGTCTTTGCATTGCCTTCCTTCTAATTCCCAACATTAGGAAAGAGCTAGAACTTGGCCCTTTGTTCACTTCATTTTACCGCAAATTCATTTACAAACGAAGCACAATTTGATGCAGGATTTTCAGAAATATTTAAACTAAAAGACGATGCTGTGCGACTATATTGAATCCGACAGTAATGTCGCACCACACAAGTGTGAGTAAATGTTTTTATTATGTGGTCACTATTGCTTTGTCTTTTATTACAGATCGTTTGATATGCACTACGTTTTTAACCTAATCACAGCAACGTCCATCTATGAAGGATGTAGGCTCTCAAACATACACAGCTGTTAGCCAATCATAGCAGTGGGCGTTTACTTCTGAGTCTACGATCCACCATGCCTATTCAAACAGAGCGTTCTGATGAGGGGGGTCAAATCAGGAGAGAAAATAGCCTCTTACTTCTCAATTATGATGTTTTTTGATGTAAAAATGATGATAACATTATAAGTGGACCTCAGAGAACAGTACAAAATAATAAAAAAGGCAATTCATGACCCTTTTAATTCAGTTGGGTATTAGCAGAAATGCTGAAAAAAAGATCTATTACTTAAATTTAGGCTGTGATTTCAATATAAGATGTAAGATTTTGGCCAAACTACCCTTGTAATGTTGCTATGGTGCCATGTTAGTCGACTTATGGCATAATTGGGGGTGGGTGTCTGATGAAATCATAAATTCAGTAACATGATGGAATACTGTTTGGCACTTGCATATATGATGAAGGCTCACACCATCTTGAGATAATGACATGCTTCGCTTTCTGAGAAAAAGAGAGGCCAGCTTTAATGACGCCTCCTTGAGCTGTCATCAATTCCCTCTCATAACTACGACCTAAAAATACTCCCAAAAAATAAATAATAACATAAAAAATGATCAAGGGGGATTAGGAAAATTGAAAAATTGTTTCCATGTCTCAGCTTTAACCTCTCAGCCTTTATTTGTTCAGTCCCTGGAAGAAAACGAGACTAGAATATCAGATTCGGGACCGCATGGCCCACTTGGTTTCTTTGGAAATGGATCATACTCACAAATGCCAGTTTATTTAGTTTTTCGATCCTTCCAGCCTGGCTGGCAGTGTTTCACTGTGGATGTGAGGTGTTCAGTCGTTTGCAGAGTGGAAAGAGGAATACTTCATGCTTGCCCTTTTGAGCTCAGTTTTATAAGCCCACGCCCAGCTCTAGTTAAGGGCCATTAATGGGGCTCTTTTCTTTTGCACTTGCCACCTTTTCCGTTGATCTAATCCGAGAACAAGATTGAATTTAGTGTGTATTCCACAGTATGTGACACAGTCAACTTACATTTATCTATTAGTAACCCAATGATGAACCTGAAATGTCACGTAACACAGTGCCCACTGGCCTGGATGTCAGTCCAAATGCTAAAGGCCATTCAGACGGCATCATTGGGCACACCATTTGCGGTTTGACTGAAATCAGTTGAATATAACCGCATGTTTGACTCTGAAAATATATTGCTGAATACACAGTAAACCCCTCCAGTTCTGCTCCTGATTTCAGATGTCTGGTGACCAGGGCACTATGGGCTTTATTTATAAATGTGCATTTATATGAGGACTGCCATCAAATGGCTCTTTCTGGCTAACATAAATAAAAGAGGGACCACAACCACAGTCATCTGTGGCAGAATCCCCAGTGACCCTCATTTTTGTGTATCAGAAATGTTTGATGGAATATAGGAATTGAAGGAACTGGGGGAAAAGGGTATGCCAATAGTTTGTTTGGCTTTTGTTGCACGGGTTTGTGTGCTCATCACATTTAGTTTTTGCTTGAGGGTGTAGTTGTTTTTCTTTTGCACATGCATAGAACATGCATTTGATTTGCAGGTTTGGCAGCTCAACTACATTTTACTGTATGTTTTCTATTTTATACCACTGTAGCATTGATCGACAATGTCTCAGGTAGTTTTGACATAGTAGCATGGTTGTTAGTACCGGTCAGCAGCCATTACTCCAGTCTTCCATCTTACGTGATGCTTCAGAAATCATTCTAATATGCTTATTTGGTGCTCAAAAAACTTTATTATCGAAGCTGAAAACAGTTGTGCTAATTAATGTTTTTGTGAAAACTTTTTTTTCTGGATTCTTTGATAAATAGAAAGTTCATATAGAAATTAGATGAAGTTCAATAAACTTTTCTTAAAAAAAAAGTTATTTTTGTACACATTTTGTACAGAGCTGATTCAGGTTCCTGGATCGCAGTGGTGAAGTGATGCTGTATAGTCCCAGTAAATAATGCTAGATCGTGAGAGTCTGTTGCATCCTCCACAGCCGCTAGCACTCAGAACTGACCTCCAAGATTGGGAATTGCGGAATGAAATTTGCATTCAACAGACAGCGTGTGCAAGTGAACTGCGGTATCAGTGTGCGTAATTTGTTTTTATGTATTCCCTCTTAAGCATATAACTTATTATATCTTCACCTCTAATGTCTTGTGTTTGGTGTTTGGTGGTGTTCAGAGCAGTACAGCAAACTGGTCCGAACTCCTATGTGCATTAAATGAAACTTGATCCCCATCATCTCCCCAAAGCCTTTGCTTTGGCTTGGCCCAGACCCCAATACTATTCCCTGGCGGCCACATAAAAAAATGCTCCCTGGATCAGGTTCGTCACTTAAAGCAGGTTTTTGATGAGGCCAAACACAACCTCATAGGGGAAAGTAACTTTTTGTGGATTTGCTATGGTTTTGAGCGGGTTAAATGATATACTTCTGAAACACGGCGCTAAAAGCAAGCACCCATGTAGAGAAGCTTTGATGAGGTTTCTGAGGTTAGACTTGAGGGAGAACTACTGAAAAGGTTTGATTTTGATCCTACGTCTTGGTGGCTTCGCCCAAAGGCCTTTAGACAGTGAGAGAGGCGAACAGTCCCACTAATGTGTGTACTTCAAAATGTTCTGTAATGCAACTCCTCTAGTTGGAGGACAACAGCAAACAAAGCGGCCTGGTC